ACTTGGTTGGGTCTGAGAGGCTGTGGGACTGGCAGGTGAGAGAGATTTGTCCTGACTATGGGCCAGGCAGGGAAACTCTAGCTATACATGCATGCACAGAAAATAAAATATTTTAAAAGACATTTTAGGGTTGGGGATTTAGCTCAGTAATAGAGCACTTGTCTAGCAAGCACAAGGCCCTGGGTTTGGTCCTCAGCTCCGGAGAATTAAAAAAAAAATACATTTTAAATGTGGTGTATAGAATATTGCACCAAAGTTCTTTTGCATAAAATAATAAGGAAACTCAAAGCTACATTGATTAGGGCTGGTAATAAGCAGTTTCTTTATATAAATGGGTAGAAAGTTGGACAAAGCTTAAATTTGTCATGTATTATGAAATAAAAACTTGATATACTTTAATGTTATCTTAGTACATAAACTGATTCAGAAAAATCAATCCATGGAACATATGGTTTAGGATTATGAAAAATAATATGACAGAGTGGCATTTAATCTGCTCAGAATGATGTTTGAATATAAAAATCTTGTTTTGTAAATGTTTCACTATAAGAATATTAGCTTTAAAAATTCAGGCATTAATGTCAGAAATAAATCAGAACCAAATAGATAAATGAAACCACAAAATTTGAAGCAAGATACTGTATAAAACCCTGTTGAACCAGAGCAGCTGACATGTAAAATGAGAAGCAGAAGCCATCAACACAAAACTAATTAAATATTCTACATGTATAATCAGTCTTTGCAAACATTAATATCATTACCATGATACTTCCAATATTTTAAAAGGTAATAAATGTGCAAAAATCATCATTTTTAATTTTATCTCAACTTGCCGTTATCTCCATGTGCTGTTTTCTCTGTATGGTAGAAATGTTGTGTAATGCTGGGTATCTTGTCTGTCTTCTAACCTGTTCAGTGACATCACACTGGTAGCTTATCATCACCTATGATAAAAAGTACTCTCATCACCGAAATTGCCAGCATTGCACATTCATCAGGGCTTTCTCTTTGTTTGGGGATGTGTGGTTAAACATTTACCAGTATAGTTTGGCAAAACTCTTCCTGAAGGAAAATATGTGAGAAGGGTCTCCATTCTCTCTGATAAAGAACCAACATACTAAATCTTTTGAAAGTCACAGGATGTGACAGGTTGTGGTGCCACAGGATGTGACAGTGTGGTGGCTGGCTTTCATCATCAACTCCTTACAACCCAGAATCACCTGGGAAAAGAATCTCAATGAGGAATTGTCTGCATTGTGTTGGCCTGTGGGTGTGTTGGGTTAGGTTAATGGATGTAAAAAGACCAAGCCCACTGTGGGTGGCACCGTTTCTTATGTAGGGTGTCCTGAACTGCATAAGAGTGGAGAGAAACCAATGTAAACAAGCAAGTAAGCAAGTAGCCATGTGTGTCTTTATTTCTCTTTCTCTTGACTATGGATGTCTTGCAACTAGCTGAAGTTCTGTTTAGCTTTCGCATAATGATGAACTGTAGACGGGAACTGTGAGCTGAAATAAACCCTTTCTCCCCTACATTGCTTGTTGTCAGGGTATTTCATGATAGCCACAGAAATAAAACTAGACCAATGGTTTAATACATGACAGCAGTATGTGTCTGCTCTTCCAGATTTATAGTAAGTTTGAAGGCCAACACTGCATTCTTATCTTCATAGAAGTTCTGTTCTGATTGACAAGGACCAGTTTTGTTTCACATGCTTCTTGTGCTATTGTTTGTTGTTTGTTTGTTTGTTTGTTTGTTTGTTTCTCTTTGTGTTTTTATTCAGACCGTGTAGTATCATCACAACATAGGAAGCAGAAGGGCAGATAAAAATGCCTTTCATCTTGGGGCACTTCATCTTCTGAGAAAGGACAGGAAGTGGGTACTTCCACCAACAATGGTTGAGGAGAGAGTCTGCAATTGCTAATTCCTTCTTTATTCTAATTTTATGTGTATTAATTATGTTCTTTCATGTAGCATGAACAGGGGAGGGACTGTGTTGCTCCAATAGGAATTTGCTTACAGTGAATTATAAACATAGTGCCCACGTGTTTTATTAGATGCTCAGCTGTATAAAGATGTTTCTGGAGAGTTGAGTTTCCTCCTGCAGACCCTAGACAAACTCCAAAACCTAAGCACCCTTGAGTGTGAAGAGATATGACACACAGGGTGATAAATCAGGGTTCTAGTTCTTTACTCTGGGTGTCACTCAAGAGATAAACAACTCTAGTGATATATCAAAAGTGGATCTTATATCTTTAGTCCTATGTATTTAGCTGAGAAATCAGAATCTCTTCTTTAATCAACATGTACAATTTTGTACTAATGAAAATTCATCAAATATCAAACTTGTTTAAATGTGAAAAGGAAGCTCTTGACATTTGATCACATAGTACAGATTACAGAATGGAACCTAAATGGATCTTAGACTCACACCACTTGCTATTTTATGCTCACTAAGTAGCAAGATTACTTTTATTAGTAAAAACAAACCTGTTATTTAAAGTACAGATCCACTCACATGTAATGGTGAAAGGTAAAAATGCTCATTTTAAAATTAAAAGGAAGAAAGGGGCACCCTTCTTTACTATTCCTAGTCAGTACTGTGCTAAATGTCCCAGCCTGTATAAAAAATATTTTTAATAATTAAGTAATCAGCTCTTCTCCTTTCCTCCTCCATCATGCAGTGGGGTCCTGACTTGGCTTCTCACCATGTCTTCTCACAAGACTTTCAGAATCAAGTGATTCCTGGCCAAGAAACAAAAGCAAAATCGTCCTATTCCTCAGTGGATTCAGATGAAAACTGGTAACAAAATAAGGTACAACTCCAAGAGAAAACACTGGAGGAGAACAAAGCTGGGTCTGTAAGGACTCACGCAATGGCAAGACAGTTTATACTGAATTGTGGGTCATCAAGCAATCCTACCACGTGGAGTTCAACATTTTAACCTGAAGATTGGGTCGTGTTTTAAGTTGGGGGAGTAGTTTGTCCAGTAATAAAATGTAGAACCTTCCAAAAAATAATTAAGTAATCAGTCTAATATGCATACATATTAGAAAAGCAAGAACCAAACTGCCCTTAGTTACAGATGATATGACCTTTGGGGATATACAAGAGTTAGTGAAACTAGCTTATTTATCTCACAAGATCATAGAATACCAGTCAGCATCTAATAAATAATTATATTTCTGTCTCCTAGTAAGTAAAACTTGGAATTAAAAATTTAAATCTAATGTTTCTTAAAATAGAAAACATTATTGGATATTTAGAAACAGATTTGATTAAATCTACCTGTAGAGCCAATATAAATTAAATTTATAATTCAAACAAGATTTTCTTACAAAGATTAACAGACTGACTCTATAATTATTTTAAAATGTAAGTCAGAAAATAGACAAAATATTTTTGAAAATTCGAGTTAGAGACTGAAGAGTACTTGACTTCAAACTTACTATAAATCTATAGTAATAAAGACAGAGTAAAATTATTGTTAAGTACAAAATTTAGACCAACACAACAACCTAGAGAACTCACAAAGACTCATGCATACACAGTCAACTGACTTTATTAAATGAAAAGAAGGATGGTCTTCTAATGCATGGTGCAGAGCAGCTGGCTAGTGCATGGTGTAGGAACAGCTGGCTAGTGAATGGTGCAGAAACAGCTGGCTAGTGAATGGTGCAGGAACAGCTGGCTAGTGAATGGTGCAGCAACAGCTGGCTAGTGAATGGTGCAGGAACAGCTGGCTAGTGCATGGTACAGGAACATCTGGCTAGTGAGTGGTGCAGGAACAGCTGGCTAGTGAGTGGTGCAGGAACAGCTGGCTAGTGAGTGGTG